CTGTCTTAGGTGCTCACACATTCTCTTCATCATTTCCTCTGTGGGAAGCTGCTATGTATGTGGACACTCAGGCAGCCTGTGGAGAGGTCCACTTGACAAGGAATGAACTAAGGCCAGCCAGCAACCACATGAGTGAGCTTGGAAATGGATCCTTCAGTCCACTTGAACCTTGAGATGACTCTAGCCCCGGGCCAACCCGTTGAGTGCACCATCATGAAAGAGTCTGTCCAGACCATGCAGTTAGCCTACTTCTGTATTCCTGACCCACAGAAACTTCCAGGTAATAAATGTTTGGCTTAAGCTGCTATGAGTAGGGGTAATTTGTTATGCATCAATAGATAACTAATACAGAGACAGATGAAATAATTGCAAGTTGGAATAAGTGCCTACACCAATCTTACGGTAGAGCAGATGCCCATTGGGAGAAGTGGTTCATGGAGCCTGAATGCTGGTTTCAGATCCTGGATCCTGGCTCAGCCACATACTAGCAGTGTGACCTTAGCAAGTCATTTCTCTAAACTTCTATTTTCTAATTTGATCATTTGTAAAACAAAGATAATAACAGTACTTACATTAAAGTTGTGAAGTGTCAACAAGTTAGAAAATGAAAGTGCTTAGCCCAGAGCCTGACACATTTTAAGGGCTCAATTCATTTAACTGTTGTTATGCTGTATGGATTCTTAAGCATTTGTTATTAATATATTTGCCTGAGCTGTTCGCTTATTGTCTTTCATATTGGAAAATGGCTACTGAAGGTGAATGCTGCTGTATAAATCTGACTCAGATTTAACAATATAATTCAACACTGTATTGAGCACCTACTATGTGCCAGGGACTAAGCTAGGTACTGGAAAAAGATTAGTGAGGTATGATCCATGTCCCCATGGATCATACCTCCCCAGGGGAGGCAGAGCAAATGTATTAGTGTAATAAAGGATTCTAAGTCTAGAAGACTTGTAGTCGAAGAATCTGCAAGAATTCTTCACCAAATGCCATTCATATTTGCTATACTTCTTATTGTGGGGAGGCACCTGATAGTTCTATACTCAGGAGAAAATTTGAGAATCAGTTTAGAAATTTAGAAAATAGATCTGTTTTAATTGCTAATGTAGGCTATAAATTACACTGCGGGGGACTTCCCTGATGGTCCAGTGGCTAAGACTCTGCACTCCCAATCAGGGAGCCTGGGTTTGATCCCTGGTCAGGGAACTAGATCCCACATGCCGCAACTAAGAGTTCGCAAGCCGCAACTAAAATATCCCTCATGCTGCAACAAAGATCATGCACACGGCAACAAAGATCCCACGTGTTGCAACTAAGACCCGATGCAGCCATATTAAATACATACATACATAAAACCTTAAAAAAATTATACTGGGAAGTCAAAACACAGAGGAAAGCAGTACGACGAAATGAAGACAGGCTTTGGATCTCAGCTTAAATGTCACCTCCTCAGGGAGGTCTCCTGTATGTAACCCTATTCTCTTCCTTCATAGCAATTATTATAATTATATGCTTATTTGTATTCCATATTTCTCTTCCCAACTATACTGTAAGCTCCATGAGGGCAGGAACCACATCTGGTTTACTCACCACCGTAGAAAGTATCTAGTTCAATCTGTGGTACGTAACAGGTGCTTAATAAGTTTTTGTAAATGAACGAATGTTAAATGAGTGTTAGAACCATTAGAATCCTGGTGGGTAGATGAGGTCCATAGAAGACTCTTGAGACCAGTGCAGCAGGATGCTGACCTAAAGACTGAACTTGTGTGCAGGGCCCTTTCCTTTTCTGGCAGAGAGGTGCTAGAAAAGCCTTAGGGGTTCAGAAGGAGTTCCTTTGGAGGACAGTGCTCTAGAGCTTCCTCCCGTCCACTTGCTACATACAAAATCCAGGAGTGATGGGAGAGAGGTTCTATTGTTAGGAATTAGAGAATAAACAGCCTTTTTTGCTTTGAAGATTGTGAAGGATACTGGTGATCATCCATCTAGCGTCCATTTTCCTCTTGATCCTTACAGAACTCCAATTTTACCCAAGTAGCCATGTTTCCTTCTTGTAATCCATGTGACTCAAGGAGCACCCACCCCAGAGGGTAAACTTTTCCTTGGTAACTTGATAAACTTGATATCCTGTATTTTCCAATAACTTGTCTTGGTAACTTGTTGAACCACTGCATCAAACAAGTCCAAAGTCTATCTTGCCCCTGGACTTCCTGTTATGTGAGATAATCAATTTCCTTATTGCTTAAGAAGACAGTTTGAATCAGATTTTTTTTTTTAAATCAGATTTTCTATTCTATTTGCAGGCACATAATCCTAATTGACCAATGATGTTTGGCCTCCTAGCTATAATTAGGGCAGCTACACTCAGAAAAGTGGGTAAGTCACCATATTACCCTGGAAAAGTCAAGCAGTGAGACTCTTTGTGTTCCAAGTGTTGAAAATGAAAATCTGCCAACCAGGCTAGTGTGAATAGCTAAGTATGGAAAGGGCAGGGGGTGGCGGTGGGGTGAGGACCTGTTTGCATGGGGCAGACAGACACAGAGATCAAACTCACAGTGGCTCCAGCTGCCTGGCAGAAGTCTGAGTGTGGGCCTGAAAGTTGAACCCTAAAAGCTGTGACCCTGAGACCTCCTTGTGAGAGACACCATGCCCTCCGTGGGAGATCCCTGTTGGCCTTTGTGGGACCTGCTGTGCTACAGACTTGCATCCTTTGACCAATTGGAAAGTACAGGTTGCGAACAGTGACATCGTGTGGCTATAAGATGCAATGACAAAGGCCACCAGGCCTTCCCTTCAGGTGTGTCACAGCTGGATTTTCCTTTGGGAATTTTTGGATCGCTTAACCTGCTATGAGTTTTTGAAAAAGGTGGGAAGGGGCCCTATTTGTAGATTCTGAATTTATTAAAGTGATACAGAGAGGATTTAGATGATTTCCTTTTGTGGAGAAAAAGAACACTATCATGTTTGTAAGATGCAATGACAAAGGCCACCAGGCCTTCCCTTCAGGTGTGTCACAGCTGGATTTTCCTTTGGGAATTTTTGGATCGCTTAACCTGCTATGAGTTTTTGAAAAAGGTGGGAAGGGGCCCTATTTGTAGATTCTGAATTTATTAAAGTGATACAGAGAGGATTTAGATGATTTCCTTTTGTGGAGAAAAAGAACACTGATCATGTTTGTACACTGTGGAGCCCCCCCCCCCACTTTTTTTTTTTTTTTTTTTTACAGTATTTACTTATATATCAGGATGCAAGAAAGTTAGGCTTGAAAAGACCCAAACAAAAGCCTTTCCATTTTATACTCCTCTTGAAAACTCATTTATGGTTTCCCATTGCCTCCAGGACTAAAGTCCCAGCTCCTTAGCACACCTGCTAAAGGACTTCCTCCTCTGATTCTCCAGTGATTCAACACACTCCTCAGCTTCCTCAGGAAGCCCATTATATTGGCCAATGCTTTGGGAGTTAGGTTTTTGGGGAGGGCAGATATGAGCTGTACCAAAGGAGTCTAGGTTTAATTACAAAAAGATAAAAAAAAGTAAGGTTTACTGAGCACTTGTGAACTAGGCATTATAATAACATACTTTGGAGTTATTATCTTAATTTGCACATGAAGTTTTCTCTAAATACTGATAGGGACAGAGTAAATGACCAAAGTAGGTGATTAAATAGTTAATTCCACTAGGGGATTGTAAGGAAAAAGTATGGGAGACTCCTGTAAGTTAATGATTGCTCAAGAAAGCAGGCTTGCTTAGCAACAAAACCATGCAACAGAAGCATTACTTGCCCCAAAACAAAACAGTGGTCACATGAGACACACATCCTGCCCAGTGAGGTCAGTAAATTAATGATTCCTAGGACACGCTTCTCTGTGCACACTAAAAACAAAAATATAAGGAAAAGGTGACATTATACTGAAACCCGAGATGATTTATCGTATTTTAGTATATGTTACTGCCTTTTTGCTCATTTCTATTGCACCATGACAGTCCCAGTTGGACCATGTGGGGACAAGAAAACTCCTCCACCTGATGTGGAGGTGGAACTGATGATGGAAGCTTGATATCTACTCAAGAATGAGGAAGAAGGTGGTCTTCTTTTTCTTTGATTATAAAACTGTAGCCCACTAAGTTCTCAGAGTGGCATTCCCTTGCCCACCAGCTTGTAAGCCTCACAAGCGTCCTACTCTAATAAAACACTTCTGATCTATCACTTTGCCTCTCAATGAATTCTTTTTGTGCTGAGACATAAAGAACAGCAGGTCCTTGAACCCCCTCTCCACGCATTTCTGCGGTTTCAATACCTTTCCTATCTGTATTGCTAGGGAATTCTTCACCATTCAGAATCATTCTTCTTATGCATCGTTCTAGGTTTGTAGTTCTCTACCTTGGCTGCACATTGGAATCACCTGGGGAGCTTTACAAACTACCAATGCCTGGGTCCTACCCAGCAGATTCTGACACACTTAACTTGGGGTCTGAACATTGTTGTCAAAGCTCCCCAGGTGATTCTAATGTGCAGCCAGGGTTGAGACGCCCTGGTCGAGGAAGACTTCAGGGACCGAGGTAAATCCTCCTTTTCTTTCCCTTCTGTGCCCTAGACACCTTTCTCTGATCATCCCTATCACACTGCACCTTAATTTCAGGGTGTATACCTATCTCCCTAACTAGATTTTGAAGATCTCCAGCCAGACACTTTTGCATTTTTGGAGCTCGATGTATGGCCTGACACTTCGTGGAGATTTGGAAAATGTTTAATGGGAGGGTAAAACGTCATCAGCAAACACTCCAGGTAAGTGAGAGAGACAACTTGAGCCAGAGCCCATTTTCAGCTGCAATGGAAGTGCGCAGGCGCAGACGACAAAGCCAGCCCGGCACACACAGGTCTAAGTCAAAGTTAGGCCCCACCCCCAGAAGCGGAGCCAACCAGAGGGCGCGGGGCAGGCCCAGCCTTCCCGGGCGGTCCGAGAAAATCGCTCCGGCGTTTAAGCCAGAGCAGAGGTAGGCCCCTCGACGCGCTCGGGCTCGATTGGCCGGCCTCCCACGGCGTGGTAACGGTCGCAGAGGCGGGGCCGGGGGCCGCTGAGCCGGCGGGGCTGGGCGCGCTGCTGGAGAGTGGCGGCGGCTGAGTAAGGTGAGCGGCTCTCGGGGTTCGCAGAAGCGGCTGCTGGAGCCCCTGCCTGAGGAACCCCGGGAACTGACCACACCTGCGCCCTGCGAGTGGTCAGACTGACCCTTGCTGGGGTTCCCCGAGAGGAGCAATGAAAATCCCAGTGTAAAGGCCGGCGGGAGCGGGGTGACCTGAGAAACCTGGTTCAAGTCTGGCTTCCCGCCCTTTGTGATCTTTGGCTTCCCACTTAACGTCTCAGCGCCTCAGTTTCTTCATTTGTAGGACACAGCTGGTAATTCTTGCCTTACATGGTGGTTGAGAAGGTTAAATGAGGCAGTGAGTGTGAAGCGTGGCCTGGATTCTGGATAGGTTGTAGTGACTCCGTTCCCAGGCGTCCACTAGGGCCGACCCACTCCACTTTGCAGTTGTCAAGGTGTCTGAGAAGGTCGCTTGGCTAGTGAAGGCTCGTAGCAAAAGGTGGGGGCTCCGCGGACGGGTAGAGTAGGTATCTCCTTCTCCGGTTTATTAGGCCCATTTCAGAATCGGAGGGGCCTCTTTATGCAGAGCCTAGTTTGATTTTATTAAGAAAATTAATGAGGTGAAAATATTGCAAGGCTAAGAGACCCGTAACACGCAGACCAAACAGGTTTTTGTACCACTTTATTTTCTAACCGTAATAATGTTAAACACTGGGCCCGCATTACCTCTATTGGTTTCAGTCCTCTGTATGAGGTTTTGTTTTGTTGTGTTGTTTTACTTTTGGTATTGCCAAGTAGACCCGGGCCTTCGGCGCCCCACTTTGGGGAAGAGGTGGCTGACTAGGGTTTTGCCCGCAGCTTCTGCTTGGAGGCGTGTTCTGACCCTTTATGTAACCTCTCGTGGGGCAGAATGATTTGGTTGAGATGAGATCCAGTGCTAATTCCGTTTCCTTATTTGCGGTAGATTCAGTTCTTTTTAGGAACGTTCAACAGCATGTTGGCATATTTTGGAATAGAGCTTTTGCATTTAATAGACAATAGAGACTTTGAAAGCATTGAATGTTCCATTTATTGCAGTAAAGTGAAATACGTACTTTTGAGTAAGCTAATTGCACATTTTGATGTGACTCACTTGAGAAAGAACAGCTACTGGCCATGCTTTATTTCCAGTTTTTCCCCACCAAAGTAGTGAAAAATAATTACATTTTAATTTATGGTGCATGTTACAGGGGCTTCAGACCTATAAAGGGCAAGTTACCAAAGGACTCTTGGGAGACCTCAGTGCAAGGAGATAGAAATGTGTTTTGCTTCTCTGCACTTGGCTTTCTATGCTATGTACAAATGAACTCCAACCCTGCAACTCCTATCCTCACAGTCTTACTTTAGGTGTGTTATGACACTGATTAAAGCAAGCTGCACCTTCTGCTTTGGCTTTGGGAAGCATTGGGTCTCTTCTGACTCAGAGTTCCAGACCTATGTCCTGTTACAGCTTGTAGTGGGGTAAAGGCAGCTGCAAACTATTGGCACATTAATTTCACAGTATGGACTTCTGAAAAGGAGGGCTTGGTCACAGGTGAAATTGTGAAAGTTGTTCTCCCTGCCTTTGCTTTTTGTGTTCAGTGGTATTGTCTGAGAGTACCCTTGCCAATGAGAATTATTCTACTGCCGCGGACCAGCTGGAGAAAGAGGATTTCACCGCCCAGGGTCAGAAGGGAAGGGGTGAGGAACTGAAGTAGCACCGACGAATGGGGTCAGAAGGACCAAGACAACTGAAGGTTGCAAGGCAAATTTTATTATGCTACAGGTGCAGATTATATAGACTAGAAGAAGGAAGGTTGCCAGATGGTGGTTTACATTATCTACAGACTGTCTCGGCTCAAGGTTAACTTCCCTGGGAGAAAACCCATAAACCCAGAATCATCAAAAATGACCTGCACGTGCAGGGGGGGGGGACAGCTTTGCTTGTCTCATTTTACATTCTTTCTGATCTCTGGGCCCTGGTGATTTATCTCCCGTGGAACGGAACAAGGAGGGGAACAAGTAGGCACAGTCCCTTCGAGCAGCAGTGGCATGCCTGGCATGTCCTCAGCTTGCTCTCAAGGCTGACTGCTTCCCACATTCTACCTTTGAAGCCAGAATCAGAATTGATGCTAGATGATGATAGAATTGGACTCCCAGGTAAATGTTTCAACAGAGCGGGGACAGGAAAGATAAGGGGAAAGAAGACAATGGTGAAGGCATGTGGTGGTGAGCATAGGAGTCCATTAGCTAATTCAGTTGTTCCAGCTTCTGTTTAGTGGTTACCACCAGTACAACGGATGCCTGTTCTGGGAATAACACATGACCATTCTTACTAGGAGATGAACTTTTTAAGATTTGGGTCTCTTTATCTTTTTGAAACTTAGATGAAGATCCAGTTTCAGATATGAGAGTCACTGAGTGATCATTTCATTGGGATCAACTTGAATGACCAGGTGAAAAGTGCAAGAGGAATGTGCTATGACTGAGGTATGTCTGATGTGACAGATAACTCTCTGGATGTTGAGAGACTGGAAAGGATCTACTAATTATGGAATACTATATGTATATTTCCTTTTGACCTCCTCATAATCCTGTCAGATACTTTAATTTTTTTTTTTTGGCCACACCCCACCTCAGCATGTGGGAATCTTATTTCCCTAACCAGGGATCGAGCCCATGCCCCTGCATTGGAAGTTCAGAGTCTTAACCACTGGACTGCCAGGGAAGTCCCTCCTATCAGATTTTTTAAACTCAGTTAAGGAAACTGAAGCCCAGAGTGGTTAAATAACTTTTTAAGATAACACAGATAGCTGGTCACCAACTCTGATCACCACTTCTGTCCTGTGTGCCAGGCACTGTTCTATTTGTCCTTTCTATATTAACTTTCCTAATCTTCACAAGAACTTATGAGCTAAGTACTTTTATTATCTTCATTTTATGATAAGGAAATTGAGGCACAGAGAGATTAGTACTTTCTTGGTTGCGTGGCAGAATCCATGATTCGAACCTAGGCATTCTGGCTATACCAGCCTTCTTTTAGTTAGTATTTCCTTTCCTTTTGCTTTTATTGTTATTTAACAAAATCTTTTTATTAAAAAATGAATTTTTATTATGAAGTCAAGCAAAAGAACATACATAAAAATGTGTAGCTTAATGAATTACTAAAAGACGATACCACCTAGGTCAGGGTGAAGAACCATGCTAGCTGTGTTAAGACTTCGCTCCATCCCAGTTACAGCTACTTGTGTACTCCCATTAGTAGCCATTCTTCTGACTTTTATAGTAATTGCTTCCTTGTGTTAAAGTATTTTCATAAATCTGTATTCTTCAGCACTCTAATGTAGTCTTGTCATTACATTAAAAAAAATCTCTTTTAATCTGTAGGTTTTCTCCCTATTCCTTTCTTTTCTTACAATTTATCTGATGAAGAACTTGGGTCATTTGACCTGTATACCCTACAGTCTGGATTTTGCAGATTGCACACTCATGTACAGTTAATTATGTTCCTCTGCCCCGGGTAATTCCCGTATATTGGTAGCTGGATCCAAGACTGGATCAGACTCAGATTCAATCCCTTTGGTAATTCTCTAGGTGGTGTTTGCCAAGACCATAGGAGGTGCAGAATGTCTCATTGTTTCTCTTTGTGTTTTCAGCACCTGTTGATACTTGATACCTATATCTGTTCATTGAAGGTTGCAAAATAGTGGTATTCTAATTCTATCGTGGCTTTTTTACTTATTAGTTGGAATATTAGTCCTTTATCTATCATTTGAATATGCAGCAGTACAATTCCTTTAGGAAAGGCAGCATAAGTGTTTGATTCTTTTCATTTATTTACCAATTTTTGAGAAAGTGAATCGGCTTTTTATCTTCTGAAGACAATTCTTTTTTGTTTTGTTTTGTTTTTGAGACAGTTCTTAAAAATCTAATATCAGTATGAGGTCATGAATTTAAACATTTTACGTGTTTCAGTTCATTGCAATTATCATTATTATCAAAGCTCATGTGGTCTCATCTTTGGCTGGAGGGAGCCTATTTAAGCCTATCCTTTTGATATGACCCTACTTAGTCTTTAATAGCTTCCTTGTTGTCTGATATCTTAAATCAATTCTGTCCCAAATCTGAAATCATCATTTCTTCAAGAAACTCTGTTTTTTTAAAGAAGGAAAAAGCATTTCAAGATCATAATCTGTATTCTAGGGATACTGAGTCAGTCACTGTTTGAGGCCTTTCAGTAGACAGGCAGATATAAGTATCCTAGCTCTATCTATAGACACACACAGAACTCTTTTCATCTTGTAAAGCTGAAACGTTATACCCGTTAAACAATAACTCACCATCCCCCCAAGACCCTGGCAACCACCACTCTACTTACTGTATAAGTGGAATCATACAACATTTGTTTTTTTGTGATTAGCTAATGTCCTTAAAGTTCATCCATGTTGTAGCATATGTAAACATTTTCTTCCTGTTTGAGGCTGAATAATATTCCATTGTATGGATATACCATATATTGCTTATCCATTCATCTCTTGATGGAACTTGGGTTGCTTCCACATTTTAGCTATTGTGAATAGTGCTGCTGTGAGCATGGATGTACAAATATCTCTTCAAGACCCTGCTTTCAATTCTTTTGAATATACCCATAAATAGAATTGCTGAATCATAAGGGCAATTCTACATTTAGTTTTTTGAAGAACCACCATGCTATTTTTCACAGCAGCTGTACCATTTGACATTACTACCAACAGTGCACAAGGGTTTCAATTTCTTCACATGCTCACCAACATCCTCACAATCTGTTTTTTTGATAATAGCTATCCTAATGGGTATGAGGTGGTATCTCATTGTAGTTTTGATTTGCATTTACCTAATGGGTAGTGATATTGAAATCTTTTCATGTGTTTATGGGCATTTTTATATATTCTTTAGATAAGTGCAAGTTCCTTGCCCATTTTTTAATCAGAATTTTTGTTGTTGAGTTTCAGGAATTCTCTATATATTCTGGATATTAATCCCTTATCACAAATGATTTGCAAATATTTTCTCCCATTCCATGGATTGACTGTTTACTCTGTTGACAATATGTTTTGATGCACAAAAGTTTTAAATTTTTGTGAAGTCCAATTTGTCTGTTTTTACATTTGTTACCTGTACCTTTCCTGTCATATCCACGAAATCATTGCCGAATCCAGGATTGTGAAGCTTTTACCCTATGTTTTCTTCTAAGAGTTTTATAGTTTTGGCTCTTACATTTAGATCTTTGATCCATTTTGAGTTAATTTTTTTTTTTGGCGGTACGCGAGCCTCTCACTGTTGTGGCCTCTCCCGCTGTGGAGCACAGGCTCCGGACACGCAGGCTCAGTGGCCATGGCTCACGGGCCCAGCTGCTCCACGGCATGTGGGATCTTCCCAGACCAGGGCACGAACCCGTGTCCCCTGCATCGGCAGGCAGACTCTCAACCACTGCGCTACCAGGGAAGCCCCATTTTGAGTTAATTTTTGTGTATGGTCTTAAGTAAGGATCCAACTTCATTCTTTTTACAGTTTTCCCAGAAGAGGAAGAGACTGACCATTCCCCTTTGGATTTTTGGCACTCTTGTTGAAAATCATTTGACAGTAAATGTGGGGAATTATATCTGGGCTCTTTATTCTCCTCCATTTGTCTATATGCCAATACCACTATGTTTTGATTTTTGTAGCTTTGCAGTGAGTTTTAAAATCAGGAAGTGTGACTTCTCCAGCTTCTTTCTTCTTTTTCAAGATTGTATTGGCTATTCAGGGTCCCTTGAGATTCCCTATGTATTTTAGGATGGGTTCTCTATTTCTGCAAAAAATGTCATTGGGATTTTGATGGGGATTACACTGAATCTGTAGATTGCTTTAGTTAGTATTGATGTCTTAATATTAAGTCTTATGATCCATGAACATAGGATATATTCCCATTTATTTATGTCTGTTTAATTTCTTTGAGCAATGTTTTGTAGTTTTCATTGTACAAGGCTTTTACTTGGTTAAGTTTACTGCCGTTTTTATTCATTTTTATGCTGTTGTAAATGGAGTTGTTAATTTCCTTTTTGGGTTATTCATTGTTAGTGTGTAGAAATGTACTGATTTTTATATGTTGATTTTTGTATCCTGCTACTTTGCTGAATTCATTTATTCTAACGGTTTTCTGTGTGTGTGTATATTCTTTAGGGTTTTCTGCATATAAAATCATATCATCTGCACATAGAGGTAATTTTACTTCTTCCTTTCCAATTTGGATGCCTTTTATTTCTATTTCTTGCTTAATTGCTTGGTGAGAACTTCCAATTCTACATGGAATAAAAAGGCTTTTATACAGAAAACTATAAAACACTGATGAAAGAAATCAAAGATGACACAAACAGATGGAGAGATATACTATGTTTTTGGACTGGAATAATCAATATTGTGAAAATGAATGTACTACCCAAAGCAATCTACAGATTCAATGCAATCCCTATCACATTACCAGTGACCTTCTTCACAGAATTAGATTTTGTATGGGAACACAAAAGACCCTGAATAGCCAAAGCAATCTTGAGAAAGAAAAACAGAGCTGGAGAATCAGGCTCTCCAACTTCAGACTATACTACAAAGCTACAGTAATCAAGACAGTATGGTAGTGGCACAAAAACAGAACTATAGATCAATGGTACAGGATAGAAAGCCCAGAGATAAACCCATGCACCTATGGTCACCTAATCTATGACAGAGGAGGCAAGAATATACAATGGAGAAAAGACAGCCTCTTCAATAATTGGTGCTGGGAAAACTGGACAGCTACATGTAAAAGAATGAAATTAGAACACCATACCTAATGGCATACACAAAAGTTTTCAAAATGGATTAAAGACCTAAATAGACAAGACACTATAAAACTCTTAGAGGAAAACACAGGAAAAACACTCTGACATAAACCACAGCAAGATCTTTTTTGACCCACATCCTAGAGTAATGAAAATAAAAACAAAAATAAACAAATGTGACCTAATTAAACTTAAAAAGCTTTTGCACAGCAAAGGAAACCATAAGACAAAAAAGCAACCTTCAGAATGGGAAAAAATATTTGCAAATGAAGCAATAGACAAAGGATTAATCTCCAAAATATACAAACAACTCATGGAGCTCAATATCAAAAAAACAAACAACCCAATCAAAAATTGGGCAGGGCTTCCCTGGTGGCGCAGTGGTTGAGAGTCCGCCTGCCGATGCAGGGGACACGGGTTCGTGCCCTGGTCCAGGAAGATCCCACATGCCGCGGAGTGGCTGGGCCTGTGAGCCATGGCCGCTGAGCCTGTGTGTCCGGAGCCTGTGCTCCACAACGGGAGAGGCCACAACAGTGAGAGGCCTGCGTACCGCAAAAAAAAAAAAAAAAAAAAAAAAAAAATTGGGCAGAAGACCTAAATAGACATTTCTCCAAAGGAGACATACAGATGGCCAAGAGGCACATGAAAAGATGG